CTCTCGAGTTTTGCTGCTGTGTTGTGCTAACCTGGCTGTGCCTGACAAGCCATGGTTTGTTAAGCACAGGTAGGTGCTAACCATGAACAAACCAGAAAGAGAACCCATGGTTTGTGAACCTGGGGTTGTTTAAACCATGGCTTGTCATTACAGCACTATGGTTTCCTCATGGCTTGTTTCACTGGGCTATAGAAGTGAAGTGGTAAAAAAACAAAACAAAACATGCCACTACTAGAGTATTTGGGATACAAGAAGAAAGCAGGTTAAGGAGGACAGAAAAAATGGTTGTTTTGGTCTTTGACTTGTCAGTTATCCTTCAGGTTAGAGTAACTTCAGAGATAGAACTACTACAAGTAGTATTGCTCTTGTTCATGTTCCACCCAGCCAGCCAGATATTCCATCTTTAGGGAGACTCCATTCCGTTCTTGCTTCCCCAGGCCAGCAGTCTATTCTTACCAGCTCAATAGCCACTCTCTGAGCATGCTCAGTTCTCACGGGGGGGTTTGTCCCTTACATTTCTCCCCACTGCTAATTCTTTCTGCTTCTGCATACCTTGGGTTTTCCTTAAGTATGCAGATTCCTTCTTGTTATATTTCAGTAGCCCCATTTTGGCTACAATGCCATCCTCACTCAGTGTCTGAGTCTGCTGTGAGCATATATAATGATAAATTTAAAATGTAATTTCACCCTACCTCTGGGCGATTTGCAGTAGATTAGCAAGAATTTCTGGCCCCAAGTTGTTGAACAACAGCCCCAACAAAATAACTTGCTTCCCTCCCTAAATTATACTGCTGAAATGAAGACAGCTTGAGATAACAGGGCATGAATTCAAAACTGCCATCTGCATTTATTGGTGTGACTCAAAACCGGGCTCCAACATCTATATTTCTATGTGTATGTCTTTTGCAGAAGGTTCTAGTTGGTGAATCTCAGGGCTCTGCAGAAATGTGTGTTCTGTCCAGCCCTGCAGTGCTAGATGAAAGAAGAGCTGGATTCATTAGCAGGCAATTTTATACACTCAGTGTTCTGTTCCCAAGCTCATATATTAAAATTTGGACAATGTCTGCAAAATATGGCTTCCATGCATTGCACTGTCCAAAATAAAGAAAAAGATTCTGAAGCCACAGAGAGATGTTCAAAAAGCAGCTAGATCTTCTAAGTCAATTATTTTGGCTGGAATGAGACATATCAGTTTTATAGGTTACAGCTTCCTCCTTAAAATTCTTTCACACTGCAGGCAGCCAATTCCACAGAAGAGAAAAAGAAGAGACCAAAAAACAAATAAAGCCTTGATTGGTCACGGTGTAAAGTCTTTTGGAAGAATAAAATGCCAGTTCTTCCAGTTTGATTAGATGTGCTAAGGAAAGTGCGTGAACAATATGAAGGAACATTATCTGATTGTTCGCTTGGAAGCTTTCCGTTGGACTCGGGTGTCTTCTTCTGTGATGTTACTCTCTGCCAACAAAAGAAAGACGGCCAAGGAGAAAATAGCCAGCAAATGTGAGATCTGTCCTTTCCATCAACTAGTGGTGTTGCTCCAGCACAGAGGAGCGGGCACACAGAGACAGCAGCATGGAATGACATTTTAAGAGTGTTTGGTGCTTGTGCTCAATTAGGCTGCTCCGCCACACTGCCAGATGAGAAAGAGAAAGAAACAGATGGGTGGCCATCACTTCTTCACTGGTCCCAAGGAAGAGGGGGAAACAACCCACACACGAACACGGAAGTGTGTCTGCAAGCAGGCTCTCCTTGTGATTTCTCTAAAACAATTCCATGGCAGAATGTTTTTTATGTTCCATTTGGCCAGTTGAGAATGAGGAAAGTCTCCACAGCTCACCCTAACATTCCAGTTCCAGCCTTGGAGTGATCCGAGCTCATCAGCTGCCTCTGATTGCGGGGGCGGGGGGGGGGTTGAAAGACTCACAGCACAGTTGGGTGGGAGCTTTTTGTGCATCACTGAGAGCCAGAGGGGTGGCAGGGCCTGGCTTACATGTCCAAGGGCCTCTAGTAGGCCCCATAATTAGGGGTGCAACCCTGGGCATGTTTAGACAGGCATTGCTGTCTACGGAATGGTGGGGGATGTACCAAGCTGTGCTAATTACACATGTGCATCGAATCCCACTCATAGAGTTTGTGTGACTACTGAAGATAACGTACAAGCTCAGAAAAGGGGGGCTGCTGGATTGCGTTTCTCAGGACACCACATTCCCGCAGGCAGATGCCACCAGCCACTTGCAGTGATTCTGGGCACTGAGAGCCTGGGACAGAAGGATCCAGTCCCTTTGAATCAATTAAGCAGCAACTGCTTCATTACTGATCAGTTGCGCAGCTGTCTTGCATTGAGAGGCCTGCTGAAACTCACACCCCGCACAGGGGTTATGCTGCCTTGGGACATGTTTCCAAAGGAAAACAGGCCTGTGATTAGAACCAGGGAGGCAGTGGGCCAGGGCAGTCGCATGTTGGTGGGTATAGCTGCTCACTCCCTCTTTTTCTTGATGAACGATCCGATCCGGACTGCCTGAACCACTGTTAATTGAGTGGCTGTTAATTGAGATGCTCCAGGCTGCCTTGCACAGAGTTCTTCTGCCCAACAACCATTTCCATGACTGTTACAACAAAAAGAAACAGTCATGATTTTTATTGATTATGTTTCTGACCTATGTTTTTTCCTGCAGGAGCCCAAAGCTTCCCCTCATTTTATCCTCAGTCCCATGAGGTGGGTTCAGTTGAGAGTCAGGGATTGGCCCAAAGTAATGCAGCGAGCTTCACGGCAGAGAAGGTGGAGGGAGGGGTGGGGAGAAGCTGGGCCTCCCAGCTCCCAGGCCGGCACTCTAACCACCACATCACACCATCTTATCATTTCACTTTTGCGTGAAAACTGCAGTATTTTAAAACAGGAAGCAGATAATCCTGTCTTTTTAAAGCCAGTATTCCAACAAGAGAAAAATAAATGCAAGTTACACCTGAGAAGCACACACGCACGCAAACACACACACACGGTCAATTTTCAACAAAAAGGAAAGCAAACATTTCCCACTAGCAATCAAATGCTATTTTTTCTGCTTGGATATGCTTAAGTGATGAGAAGGATAGAGACTCATTCATCTTCCTTAAAAGCTTTAATAAAATGGCAAATAGGTCTCCTATTCCTCAAAAATTAGTTAATAATCTACCAATAAACACACTTCATCTCTAACTGCTTTGAGTGAATGGGTTTTTGTATTATGCCAATGATTCCTAATCTTTTTACTGAGCATTAGGGGACTAATTTACTATATTTCACTTATCTTTCAAGCAGGACTTCACGGCAACATCTATAAATTCCTGGCTTTTCTCAGGCAACCTTTCCCTCCCCATCCCAGATCTTGCAGAAAGGGGGCTGCTTGGCTGACTTTGTCAGCAGTTTATTTCATCATCTCCTGTGAGTGAGGTCATCCAGCAATCCTCCCTATGCACTTCCTTTGCAAGACAGCAACTGATCCCTTCTTACCTTTAGGAAGGCCTTAGTTCTGGCTGGAAATGCATGCCTCCCATTTTACTCTTGGTATTAGCATCAGAAGATGCAAGAGTATTATTCATGGGAATAATTACTTGCAACAGAAGCATTCAAGTTCACAGCCATGTTGGGTTGCTTATTTAAAATTTATGTATTTATAGAATTTGAGCTGTCACGAAGAGTCTGCATCTTTTCAACATCTCACAAAGTAGACTGTGGCTTATGAAAGTTCACACTCTTCAGGTAAAACAAGTCTTTTTAAGGTGTTACTTTTCTATTTACTTCTTTAAAATATTCTCTGTGTATTTATATTTTGGAATGTACTCATTCTCTCCCTATCATTAAGACTTATTTTAAAATGAATGCATGCTGTCAATGTCCATTGATTTATTTAGGCCCACGAATCAAATAGCAGAAAAACTGCAAATCACATTGAATTTTTTTTAATGCAGATTGTGGTCCATGTTCAGTCTGGAAAGTGAAACCTGGGTAAGATCCTGAAGCAAAACAAATTTTTCATACCTTCCTACTCTTAAGGATACTGGCATGTCTAGGCTTGGACAAGGTTGCAGAACACCAGAGGATACACTGAATTACCCAGGATTGTTGTAGTACATGAATCCACCCTCACACAGAGAGACTCACGGGCTGGGTTCCTATGACATGGCAAAGAGCCCTGAGTTTCTGCCTGACCTTACCAGTAAGATAGCCATGTGGATTGCACATGCATGGGCTTATTCACACTTGCAGCAAAAAGCAATGGTTTGAATGTATGAATGAGTGATCACAAAGCGCATGATCAATGGAATCACTGGGCTCAAGTCATCTGTTTCAAACCATCCAGTGGCAAGAAACAGAGTCTGCCTTCAACCCTCCACGGCTGAAAACGCTCTCCATGTGGTAGGTGTTTTATGTAAAGTGAATACAGGATGGGAAATGTACCCTGGGCTCTAATTTTGGAATGAGGAGAATTAGGGATGGTCTTCCAGAGGGATTGTATTTCATTGCTTGGATCCAGACCTTGCTTCCATCAGGGGTAGCACCTCTCAAACTGAGTTCTATTAAGGCTACTCCCACCAATTTTTGCTAACTTTCCCTTCCATCTTTTTCTGCAGCACCTCCTCCTACTCTGTCCTGGAGAGACAGATAAAACATCTGGCACAAATTTTCATGGCACATACAAGTTTGCAGGGGGAGGAGGAAATGTCAAAAATGCCTCCCCACATTTGCCAGTGGGGTTCCTTCAGTAGATCAGAATTCTTCCCTGGACACGAGAGTCCTCCTGTTTAGGGGAGATCCAAGCCAGTATTGGGTGGGGCATTCTATTCTCATAGGACAAGCCATTCTGTGTGGGCAAGAAGGAGGAGCCTGTGGAACCCTGACTGAGTCTTGGTGTTCCGGGGTGAACAGGTGGTCACAATGGGTTGCCGTGGGCACCGGCCAAAGGAAAAATGCAACAAGAGGCTAGAGAGAGCCAGGTGGAAGTGACTGGGCAGTGCTGACCATGGCCAATGGGTACCAGCTATGGGCACCCTGGTCCCCACTGGATGAGTCCCTGCAGTGGCTGCGGGGGGCCGTGCCCAGGCCCAGCAGCACGAAGCACCCTTTCCGGGCCGGACAGAGGCCCGCCACAGCCACTGACCTGGAGGTGCAGCTTTGCTTCCAGGGGCTCAGCCTGGTGCTGGATCCCGGCGTGAAGACTGTCACCAGGCAGCCACAAGTCCCTGGAGTGTCCCGAGAGACCAGGGGGTGTGGCGGGGCCGTGCACAAGCCCCAGGCCATCAGGCTGACCGGGCTCGACTCAGTCTTCGGGCACCTGGTGACGGCACAGCCCCCGCACTGGACCGGCACCCTGCGGGTGTCAGAGCGCTCAGCATTCTGCCAAGTCATAAGCCCCCAGGGGTGCAGGCCGAACGGGCTCCGGGAACCCCAAGTGCGCACAGCCATGGCCATGTGCCGCCAGATGCTACGGGCCATCCTGATGCTTTATGCCGCCTACAAGAAGTGCGCCTTTGCCCTGCAACATTCCCGCTGAGAGTGACGCAGACCGGACTCTGGCGTACCGGAGTCTTGTGTCCTCACCGGCCCTCCTCCAAGGACACCATCTCCTTCAACCCATCCGCTGCGTCTTCTAAGTCAGGCTGCTGCCTGAAGTCGTCATCATTTCTTTGCCCTCCCCAAGCTGAAGACCTGTCCCCAAGACAAACCATTTCCCGATCAGTATCATTCTGGAAGGGAAAGCTCAGAGAGTGGAAAAGAGTGGAATGGAAAGCTCAGAGAACTTGCTAAGAAACAAACCCGATCATATGATCTACATCTCTGTGTGAAGGTCTCAGAAAGTGATGTGGAAAACTGTTGCAAACCTCACAAGGTTCTGCATGGAAGACGTAGATAAGATGGTTTCTGAAAAGGATAAAACAAGAGGCCTTTATAAAGAAGTGGATCAAACTAATTTGTGGAACGAGTCTGACTTGAAAACCAGATGAAAACAAGTTGATATGCATCCTCATTTAGAGATGTTATTCAGAGAAATAAGCACACCCACCCTGTTCAGTGAAAGATTAGTTTTCCAAAAACCACCTACCTATAATTTTCAATGAAAACAGCAACAATAACTGCATTATTAAGTGGGGCTGATATAATTACAATAATTTTAAAACGGTAAAGGACACATTGTTTGCAAAGCAAAGAAACTGCATGGTTGCAAGACTAAAGCAGCATTCTTGTATGAGTAAATGGAGCTGAAACCCAAGGAAATCTCTTTTTGATCATTCTCTGCTTTGGCAATGGCCCTATCACTGATGAGAAAGCACATCTGTCAACTGCCAAATGAAGAACGTTCTGATCAATATATTTGATGCCAAGATGAACTTCCAGAACAGAAGATGTTTTTCTCTGCTATGATTTTTACATTTTAAAAACTTATTTATTTATCCCAATGGGTGAAGCTTTTGTCAACTGGAAGTTTGAGTGTATTTCACTGGGAGGTTATTGTAGTGAGTTCAGACTTTGAGTAATTCAGACCTTTCCCCACTTCTGGAGGCGCTTAGAAACAGAAGACAGCGCCACAGTTCCCTAAAAATCTGTCAGTTTTCAGCTAAGTACTGAATAGTTTGAAAACAGAAGACTCAAAGCCATGCAGTCCCAAATCATTTATTCCAAGTTCTGCTGATCACATTAAAGAATACTGCAATCTAACCCTGGTGATGTAGCTGTACTTTCATTGATCTGCAAAATTCAGGCAACAACAGTCCTTAGCTTTATACACAGAAGTTAAATCCTGATTTACAGAAATACTTTGCAGCATCCAACATGGAATTACAGTATCTGCTTTGATTCATTTATTCAGTTTGCTTTGCAGATTCTTCCTTTTTCAAAAATTTGCACACTCTTTTTGCAACTGTTAAGCAAAATGTTATGGCTGAGCCAAGACCAGCTACCTCACAGTAACTCATGCAGCTAAGTTAGTTATGTCCAACCTAACCTATTAATTTAAAAGGAACATGACAAACTTAGTTTTGACCCAACCCAGTATTAATTATGAATTCAACTTGTAAAAAGCTTCTTATTTACCTATTAGCAACTGAGATCTCTTCTATTTATTCAGAACATTTATAGTTAGAAGTTCAAATTTACTGCTGTTTTTTCCTGCCTGGCTTTACTTGCTACTTGATTTTTATTCTCAATATGCAAAGAAGCACCCTGAAATCTTTGCAAAGAAGCACCCCGAAATCAACAGAGCCCTGAAAGAAATTGACAGAATATTTATCACTTCAAGGTGGAGGGGACAAGATTCTGGATTGTGTGGGGGTTTTGTGCATGTGTGTTTTACGACTGCTGTATAGAAGAGCATTTCTAGTCTACATTATAATGACCTACTCCCTGACTTATGCTTCCATTAAGAGACCTGGAGCATCACAGCTCCTTGATGGCACCTAAAAGATGACCTTGTTTCAGCAATTTCAGAATTCAGAGATAAAAGATAACCAGATCACTATAAACATTATGAGTTGGGGTGTGATCTTACGGCCCAGTGCCCTAATCCTATGACATTGTCTGGGCAGGTGGGGGGATAGGAATGTTTGGAGCTCCTGTGACCTCAGAGCTGGGACTCCAAGGGCTGAGCCTGTGCCCCAGCCGCCGTGCAGCTGGTGTGGAAAGAACAGCACCGGCTGCCTCCCAAAGATGCAACTGGGCCATAGAAAGGTGGGAAAGAGTCCTGCAAGGGCCTGAGGAGCGGGGAGGCTGGAGCTGAAGCTGATGGCTTCTGTCCTAGCATAGAAATGTTCTAATAATAATAATAATAATAATAATAATAATTATTATTATTATTATTATTATTTGTGTCGCAGCTCCCTCCCCTCCCCAGCACTTTGCCAAGTGCACAAGGGAAGGCATGATGATAGCAGTGATAGCCACTGCCTTGCCTTGTGCCGTGCAATGGAGAGGTGCCAGCCTTCAAGTTTCAGACAGAGGGCAATGGATAGCAAGCTGGACGGCATATATAGCGTGGTGTCCTATGTAGTACTATATAGGCCTATTGATGCAGTTTCTAAAATAAATAAATAGACAAACATAACATAAGCACCTTCTTTCCCCAGCAAATGGAGATAACTTATGGTAAAAGTGTTGGTTGGCCTTGCAGATTAAAGGAGCTTGCCATTCCAGGATGCTCCTTAGTCAGCCTACTTTGCCACACTTAAAACATAAAGCAGCTTCCTTTGGTGTCCACAACAAAAACAAAGGCGCTGCCAGCCAAACTGCATACAAGGCCTTTGGAAGCACTGTGCTTCAGATGCAGAAATCAGTGTGAAACTCTTCAATGGATTGGATGCACATCATCCCCCTTTTTGTGTCTGACTTACATTCTCAAGAGTAAAAATTTCTCTCTGACCTTCCAACAGTAATAAGGACATTACTTTTGGGCACACAGAATGCTTCATTGTAGAGCAGAAAATGTATATCATGCTTTATCATTGATTCATGTGAATGAAAAACCTGCAACTTTGATATGGAAGGCTGAAAAAGGTCATTCTTCCTCATCAGTAGGAAGTCGCACAGGACTCTGAATTTAATTTGAGGGGGTCATTAAAGGTTCTCGGATCTGCCAGACAATAGCCAAAGTTATCTGACTAGATAGCTGCTATTCAGAACATGGACACAGACAAAGTGGTTTTAAAAATTTTTCATTTTGAAAGAGTACCTGCTTTTAAAACTTGCTCAGGTTTCTTCATTATCCAAGATTTCTATCCGTAAGTCAGGATGAAAGGCTGCAACAATTAAGACCAAACCTGAAGAGTTTCTGAATTGGGACACAAGCAAGTGAATATGGATTTTAAATAACATGGTGTGCTTGCCCCTTTTAAGGTCCTTTTAATGCATTTGGGGTGGGGGGGAGTGCATTTTGACTTTTAAAAAGTCAAATGATTATTTAAAATTCAGATCTGTGTAACATATTTTAAAACAATCTTTACAGATAGGTTGCAGTTGAAAGAGGAGATGCACAGAGAAAAATTCTTTTGCTTTGCCATAAGCAAACAAAACCACCAGCACTGAAATACCCATGGGATAAAAGATTACAAGGATACACCGGTAATTTCTGGGTTTATGCCTTGCACTTGGAAAAATTTTTAAATCCACATTTTTAGCTAAATGGAGGAGATGGTAAGTGGATTTTCACGATAGTATTAAAAGACATTACTTGCTTCCAGCCAATGAATGCAGCTTAGAAGCATATTAATCTTTGCTTTAACAACATTTGAAAGGAAAGCCCTCCCAATGGTTTTCTTCCCACTAATGGAACCAGGATTTGAGACACGTGCATTAATTTGCAGCGTTCAAAGCAAATTGTATTGCGATCTTGATTCCGCTTATTTTAAATGGAACTTCATGTTTAAAATATTTTCTTTAGAAAAAGACTGAGGTCCAGCATTGTTTCCATTTATAAGTGAATGTTTTCCATATCCAGAATAAAGCTACTGCCTTTATTTTTTTTAAACTGGCTGGATATTCATATTATGTAAGACAATAACAATAGTTGGAAGGCTAATGTTACATTAGCACTTTTTAAAAAAATATTTATGAAATCATGGGTATAGCATCAGTACCTATTCAGCGAAATATATGAGTGACTGTGATCAGATCCATGCATACAGATTCATTTATGTATGTATTTATGTATAAGAATGATATACAACTTCATATTCATTCCAATATGGAGATTTCAGAGTGGTGAACAATGCAAGATGAAACAGGTAAAAGAATAAATTCATATGTTAAAACCAAAATTAATAAAACCACTGTGGCTTAGTTCTGGACATCTTCCCGAAATAAAAGTATTTGCAGAAGGAATCAAGAATATAGGTGCCTGACCTCACGTGACAGGGAGTTCTACAGAAATGGAGTCACCATACTCAAGGATACTTGAGGATCTTCTGCTGGAGGACTTGAGTTGGCCCATGGGCCCATTTGGTACCACCATAGATTGCTGAGCAGTTGGGATGGGATTTGGGATGGGAGAAACATTCTCTCAGAAGTATTCTGGTTCTGACCTCTTTGGGGCAACAGTTGTGTTCTCTTACAGGGCACGGATGATGCGTGCACATAGTGTGTTGAAAAACTGTGAAAGCAAATGTATAACTATGTTACTCAGCTGCTGCAAAAATGTAAGGCTGACACCAGAGACATTGTTTTGTCTAGGACCAGGCCCGCTATAAGTGGATGGATGAACAGAGCAATTTTAGCCCAAGGAAAGGGAAGGGGACAGGTGACAGGAAATCCTATACTGGAAAAGTTGACATCAGTGGAATAGTATTAAGGTAAAATCTATTGCAGGAATGAGTAAACAGCAATACTGAGAAACCTGAGTTGCCATTGGGAGAAGTGCAACTGAATAGGTTCCCTCGCCCTCCTCACCCCCATTCTTCTTGCACAGGATTCTAGCTGTCGCATTTATGAATAGACGGACCACTCTGGTTTGTATCATTTTCTCAGGTGCTCCTTCGTAAGTGCATCCTGCACTGTTGCCATCTTCACATTTTTAGTTCTAAGCACTAAAATTTATATTTTAACATGTCTATTTGAATGCATTTTGGCACAAAATTATGTGTGTCTATACATGATGTATGCATTTCTAAATGTACTTTATCCTAAAATGTCCATTTAAAAAGCATTTTTCAGCCCACATCTACAACATTCCAGTCTTCACAGTATGGGCATGTGGATTGGATCAGTTTGTATCATTCAGATTCGGTTCCTCGGGCATCAAAAGTCCTAAGCATATTCTGCAAAAGACTTGATATCATAAGCAAAGAAGACAGATTAGTTCCCTGGCACATCTATTCTCTACTCTCCTCCTCCTGAGGGTTCCACTGATTAAACATGCTTCAGTAGGTACAAGAACTTTGGAGAAGTCACAGGTGTGTGGAGCCAGGCACAACACTCTTCAGATATTGTGGTGAGACAACCCAGTTGAAGGCTATTTTTCCCATAGTTGCCAATAAGGATTGAACAGCATCGTCTCTCACACTGCTTGTGAGAAGACCGCCTAAAAGGTGGGACCAGGAGATGCAAAATATTTGTCCTTTCTCACCATTATGTTTTCATAGCCCATCATAAACCCCCCTAGTAATAAATATAATTGTCAGTACTTGAAAACTCAACTTGCCCTCCTTAATGATTATAGATCTCCCTGCATAACAAGAACTGTTGCAAGTTTTAAATTCTAAAACAAGGATCCCAGAATAATCTCAGAGAGCAAAGAACTCCATAGCTGGTTTAGGTGTTGCAATTTATTCTTATGGAAAATTGAATATCTCAACTTCCTGCCCTAGTGATAACCTACAGTCTGGTCTTTGCAGCAATTTTAACTTGCCTTCAGTAGTCCCTTCCCCAAATTTTGACCAAAATAAATGGTCAAAACTTGGAGAATATTGCATACAATCAAAAACAAAATATTTTTCAAAAAAAATCATTGCAGTTATTGCACACTAAAATATAACACTGAACTTTAGGCTTTGTAGTAAAAACACTATTTGTAACAGTATTCAACAAATAACAATATTTAACACATGCATTTCCCATATTCTTTATTTTCAGTGATATCAAACATAACATATACAGGTAGATGCATTTAAATATTTAAATAAACAGACTTTTTTCCTTTGTTGTTCAACCTGTACAGCAGAGAGATGCTCTCAGCAATTAGTGTGTGTGTGTGTGTGTGTGTGTGTGTGTGTGTGTGTGTGTGTGAGAGAGAGAGAGAGAGAGAGAGAGAGAGAGAGAGAGAGAGAGAGAGAGAGAGAGAATTCTAGCGCAACTATCATCTTCTCCTATCAGGTAGCAGGAAATGGCATAAAAACATGAAGGTGGAAAACAGCTGAGCCATTTGCAGGAAAGTCAGTGCAGCAGAGATCACCTTGCTGCATTCAGTTCAAGTCCCTTCTTGGACATATTTTTCAGCCTAGTGACAAGTTCAGAAGACGGACAGTTTATGAAGATAGCACAAGCAGACCTTTTTGTTCTTTCCCCTTTTGCCAACATGCTGGACAACGAATGGTCCCATATTTTTGACAATTAACAAGAATACTACCTACTGTGGCAGATATTGTCACTTAGTGCAAGATCATGCTCTCCTCCTTCATTTCCCCCCTTTTCTCCATTGTGCAGTAAGAAAATGTGAGCTTGCCATTAAGCTACTGTACAGAAGCTTTCCTCTAAAACTTTCTTGGAACCATGTAAGAGGGTTCAAATATTTCCAAGGATCAGGTTAAGAGAATCTTAGCTGTGTACAGACACAACATACATCACCATACTAAGCCAACTCTTGGAAGTAAATCATGAAATGGCTGGATGTGAAGGGAAACACAGAATTTTGAAGTTCAAGCCCATAATGCTTTCAATGTCAGACCATAATCTGAACCAACTCATAAAGTTAGGCATCCTAAAGCTCACTGGATAGCATCCACCACTGGCATTGCAGCTCAGCTGGTTCCATTGAGGGTGCAGGACCTGCTAAGTCAACAGGAACTAGCGCTACTTAAAGTGATCCTGGAAATGAGCAAATCCCTTGTTTCTAAATAGGAGAGAGCAGGCCTCCCTTTGGTGAGCTCCACTGGCCAGCTCAAGTTGGAAGCAAGAGCTTCCATTCTTTTCACTTGCTTCTGCAACTGCCAGCTCCCCATTGCACTAACAGTGAGTCCCTTTAGCATGTGGGCCCTGTGGAATACTGCCCGTCACCTTCAGTAGGGTTTAGGATATTTAAATCTGGATTAAATTTTGGCCCCTAATGGTTCTTTAATCGCATCTGGCCTGTTTTAGAAAATCAGTTTTACTATTGGAGCATGATCCTAGATATCCTAGATTCTCAGTTCCACTGAGTTCAGCCGAGTTCCCAAGTAAGCGGACACAGAATGGCAGCCTTCAGCTTTCAACGACTCCCATGGATGAAGCTGTGTTTTCCCCATAAGTGACCCCCACGTTCCTGGAGAAAGCTGTGAGTGCGCGTGCATGTGTGGGAGGGGTGCCTACATGAAACTTCCTTTCCAGAGGGGTTGGCATCCCCTCTCCCAGCTGGGAGCAGCTTGTGTGACTGGGAACCATGCCCTCAGCCTCCACTGGGGTAACACTGAAACACCCTCCTGCCTACTCATGAAAGCAGCTTCCATGCAGCTGTGCTGGGTGGACATGATGGGAGGTAGAGTCTAACACATCTGAAGGCACCAGGCTGGGGAAGGCTGAGCTAGGGTCACGCCCGAAGAACAGCAGAACAAATCCGTAAAAGTAACTTTTACCTGGAGCCATTTCCATGGAAACTAGAAGGTGGTGAATTCATTAAGTTACTCGGTGGGTGCTTTTCATGGCATCAAGCACCTGATGTATTTATACAGATGACTCACATGGTTTATGGATTCATAGAAATACTAATACATAAACTTTATAGCAAAAAATATACATATAAGAATTCATCCTTCTATGGTTCATATAAATGATGCCTACTTTCCTATGTGTGTGTGAGTCTATATATGTGTGTTTACGCATATGTGGAGATACATATATGGTCAAAGCTAGGATCAATGGGACCTTGTTTCCGATCCTGGCTGAGGAAGTGCAGCCTGATGGGAGAAGGGCCTGCTTGCTTTTGAACAGGCTGAGGATCAGGACTGGCCTGAGATGCTTTGCTGCCCGAGGCAAAGGCAGACGTGCCACCTCCTTATTCCAAGTGCAGAAGCCAACTGCCCCCCCACCAGCCTAACCTTCCCGCAGTGCCGGCTGCCTCCACTGCACCTGAGGGCCGCAGGGTGGCTCTGGGGGCGCAGGGCAAGCTCTGTGGCTCACACAGATCTCTGTCTCCCTGCCCTGCATCTCCTTCCCTGCCCTTCCAGTTGCCTCACTCTGTGCAATGACCAGCTGGCCAGCCCTTGTGTGTGAGCAGGGGAAGGCCATTGCCGCAATGGGCATGGTGTGGTAAGGTTATGCTGCGGCTACTGGGTTGACGATTTCGTTTGTGGCTTCAGCACGTGGGGCAGGCAGGCTGAGCTGGTGCACCCTGGATGTTGCCGCCCTTTCCGTTATCATAGCAGCCCAAAAGCATGGCCACCAACTTCTTTACATCTGTTTTCTCCACATATAGAGCGACAGCATTCAAATACACTTGCACTCATCAGTCACACACACACGCATGAACATGCACATACTTGCATATACACTTGCATTGGTATTTCCAAATACACATATAAATATATAGGCACACACATTTCTTCACTCTTCGTGAGAGCACTTTCCCGAAACTGCCAACAAGCACTGCAGTCCTTAATCGGCTGGGAGCTTCACAAGATACACAAGTTTCAAAGTCCTCGGCAATATCGGCTCCTGTCACCGCTGTGGGCAGAGAATGGGCTTGATGCATCGTCCTTTATGGTGAACTAAGTTTGCCGGACAGTGGCATCCTGCAATGCATGGCTTGTTGCAGGGGCCGATCTCATTCCAGTTGTTGCATGTTTTCACACATCCAGGACCGCAGGTGTCATAAACCGCCCCATGTTTACATTGGGTTGCTGGAAGACAGTTCAAAGGAAATTGAGTGCTTGAAACATTTACTCATGGGATGTATAACTTCCAGTCAGTTGGATCCAGAGTTAATCATACTGCAAACAGACCACCACCACCACCACAGCTTCAGTCATACTCCAGGAAACTTACTTGGCCGCAGAGGTATGAAGTACAACGTTGAACAGAACAGAGAGAATCACATTTGAATTTTGAGTCAGCAGAAAAATGAGGCATTTACTACAGCATGTGACAACACTACCATTCATGCATCTTCTACTGATTTCCAACTTTCTCTGATACATGTGTCAGTGAATTTAAGGGGCGCTTTCCTCAAGATGATTTCTTACACTATGACTTATTGCAGTATGAATGAAATACAGGGGGCAAACATAGAGAAATTATTCTCTCTGAAAATACTGGTTTCCAGTCAGGGTGGTTGTGCCGTCATGAGGGCAGGGGATTTCCATAAATCCAGGGGGTTTCCAAACCCCTGAAGCAGATGTTCAGGAGGCATAGCAGGCTGCAGAGGGTTCTGGGATGGATGAAAATTGCCTTCTTCCACATATTGAGCCAATGGGGAAGAAGGCAACCTTGAAATTATTGTGGATAACAGGCTAAGTATGAGCCAACAATGTGATGCGGCTGCAAAAAGGACAAATGCTATATTGGGATGCATTAATAGAAGTATTACTTCCAAATCATGAGAAGTAATAGATCCCCTACACTCCTCACTACTCAGACCTCATCTGGAATACTGTGCCCATTTTTGGGGACCAAAATTTAAGAAAGATGCAAAAAATTAGAAAGGGTTCAGAGAAGAGCAACAAAACTGTTCTAGGGTTTGGAAACATTGCCCTATGAGCAGAGACTAAGAGAACTGGGCATGTTCAGCCTTGAGAAGAGAAGACTGAGCAGGGACATGATATCCCTCTATGAGTACCTCAGACACTGTACTCCTCTTCCTGTACAAAAGGCAGACCTTGCTGATACCAGAGTGTAGGACATGGAATAATCAACTCAAGCTGTGGCAACCCAGATTCAGGGCAGATATCAGGGAAATTTCCTCACTGTCAGAGCAATACAACGGTTGTCTAAAGAGCTTCTGAGCTCTCCTACTAGAGACATTCAGAAAGAATATGGACAGTCATCTGAATGGGAATGATGTAAATTGGTATCCTGCAACAGCAGGGGGTTGGACCTGATGGCGTTCTTGGCCCCTTCCAACTCTGTTCTGTAACACTGGATCCAAAGAAACCACCCCACCAGAAGACACAGAAATGTTGACTGACAGAATGAATATTCAACATATTGCAAAGGAGGGGCCCGACATTAAACTCACTGGTCATGACCAGACCCAAGACAGGACTGGCCCCACCACCACCCTCTGCCCCGCTGACGCAGACGCCGCCATTGACTCCACTGACGCCACTGCTGCTGCTGATGGGCCGTGGCAAGTCCAGGGATGCTGCTGTTGCTGCTCCTCCATCTTGCTGCCGGCAAGGCCTCCATGGGCCCTGCCCTTGCTCCCCCTCCTCCCTCAGCGTGGGTGGCAGCTGCACCAGGGTTGGGGGCTGATTGCGAGAGGGGCCCAGCACTTAACTTGCTGGCCGTGGCTGAAGGGCGATGGCCTAAGGGCGCTAAGCCAAGCACTCTTGGATGAAACAGATTATCTGGACCCATTTCAGTCCAGCTTCAGACCCAGTTATGGTACCGAATCTGCCTTGGTCGCCCTGTATGATGACCTGTGCAGGGAGAGGGATGGGGAAGTGCATCCCTGTTGGTTCTCCTGGATCTCTCAGCAGCTTTTGATACCATCAAATATGGTATCCTTCTGGATAGGCTGGCTGGGTTAGAAGTAGGAGGCTCTGGTAAGTGACTTTGGCCCTGTCCTGGACAGGGTTGCACTCCCTCTAAAGGATAGGGTCTGCAGCTTAGGAGTGTTCCTCGACCTCAAACTGTCCCTGGAAGCCCAGATGATGATGGTGGCGAGGAGTGCTTTCCTTCAGCTTCTGCTGATCCATCAGCTGTGTCCTTACCTGGATGAGAACTGCCTAGCAACGGTGACACATGCTCTGGTAACCTCCCAGTTGGACTATTGTAACGCGCTGTATGTGGGGCTGCCCTTAAAGATGGTCCGGATACTTCAAATGGTAAAAAATAGAGCTGCCAGGTTTCTGTCGGGGACTGGTCGTTACTCTCATATTAACTCCGGTCCTCCATCAGCTTCACTGGCTTCCCATCAAAGTCTGGGCCCAATTTAAGGTGCTGGTTATGACCTATAAAGCCCTAAATGGCTTGGGACCATGATACCTAAAGGAACGTCTTTTTTTCCCCTGTATGCCTTCCCACCCCTTAAGATCTGCAGCAGAGGCCCTGCTCCAGGAACCCTCCTTAGGAGACAGACTACCTGGAGGAGGGCTTTCTCTGCGGTGGCACCCTGGCTATGGAATGCACTCCCTAGAGGACCACCTGGCACTGTCATCCTATGCTTTTTGGTGCCAGGTCAAGACCTTTTTATTCACCCAATACATTAATGTTTAATAGATTTTAATTATCTTTTACTTCAGTTGTGGGTTATTAGTTTTATGGTTTGGGGTATGTATAATATTTATATTGTCGTACTTATTGAATCTGTTGTGAGCTGTCCAGTGATGTATAGTGATTGGACAGGTTAGAAATATCCCAAACAAACAAACAAACATATATTGAATGGTGCTGTCTACTTTTGCAAGGAACCAACAGGGGCTGACAGAAAGCTCTCCTTCCTCAAATGTGCACTCTGAAAAAGGACAATATACTGGACTTGCTATGGGTAAGTTCTCAACACATCTTACTGGAATAATGCATATTCTACTCATGCTGAAGAGCGCAGCAGTCAAAATGCACATGGTGTTCTTTTTCCACATCAATATTTCACAGTACAGACAGATTCTGTTTCTCTTTAAAAGGATAAGACATGAAGCAGGACATGCAGGATCAATAGCCCTTGCCCACTGAAGAGCTTCTGAGATGTGAAACGTGGAAGAAATGCAAGCCAGTGCTCTCCACCCTGCATGCAGGGAAGCCACTGCACGGTGCGAGGTGCTGTGATCTTTGCTGAGGTGCCCTGAGCCCAGCACCTGGGCTGATTTTCAGCCATCCAGATGAAGCACCATGGATGGCAGGAGAGCTGGTAGGGCTGCCATGCTGGTACAGCATAAGTCATGGGTCACACCCTCCCCCCTCTCTTCCCCAGTGTGCCCCTTTTGTGCTCTCCAAAGCTGATGTGTGATCTTGGGGAGGCAGCCGGCATGGTTCTTTCTGTTCCAGCTGCAAACGGGTCAGGCAGGGGCCCTGCATTCAGAAAGCCCTTGCAGAACTGTGACCCAGATAGTCATTAATGATATAGAAGACCACCTAATGTAGTTCCTAACACTGAGGAAGGAGGAGGAAGTGGCTATTCCCAAGTTAAGACCTGCTGAAAGCAGTTCAGGCCTTTGTATTGCAATCAACAGAGTATAGATAAAAATAGTCAAGGAGATGTTGGCGACACGAAATGCAACAATACGAATTGCCTCAACTCAAAGATACAATGGCACAAAACCAGACACCTTAGGGCAGCCTCCCAGAAGCAACCCACCCCTCTCCCTGGAATCCCATCCAGCTGCCCTGTATAAGCCCAGGGTGAGGGCTACCACCATTTCCTAAGTGTGGGGTGCAGTCCTATTGCCCTGCCTAGATGCACTGAACGCTCCAAATGTGCAGCAGCAGCCATCTCCACCATCACTGGGCCTCATCTAGATTTTCATGGAGCAGCACGTGTGGCTTTTTCTGGCCAGAGACTAGGAAGGAAGGAGCTCATGGCACCCATGGGAACTGGTGTGTGTGGTCAACTCCAGCTTCTTCGCCCCTGCCTGCCATGGGACACACTCTTTCCCCTCTCTGAGGCAGATTTCCACACTTGGAAAGGCAGCCAGTGCAGTTCTTTCCACAATGAGGATTCGGGGGAATGCTCAACCATTGGAGATCAAGCACCGAGGCTGAGGGACCTTAGTGCTGGGACTTGAAAGGCTCCCAGACCACAGCATTGCATCCTGAGTCAACCAGCTCCAAGGACTGTGATTCAAAGAATGCCTTCAGGTTCTCATGAAGACCACTTGTTCTGCATGTGCAGTAGAGGTCCTACGCCCTTCTCATTCCTTCAACTGCCTCAGATTTCGGATGCGGATTGCTGGGCAGCATGACAAACATTCTCTGATGAGTATGAGAACTGGAAGCCCTCCTGAGCTCAGCTGAATATTAAAGTAACAAAGACAAAGAAGAAATCATTGTTCTTTACACCTCAGTCATACTCCAGGCAACTTACTTGGCCACAAAGATAGGAACTACAACTTTGAATGAAATCACATTTGAATGTTGAATTGCAGAAAAACGAGTTAGTCACTACAACATGTGGCAAATAAGATGAATGGCTCTTTGCATAAGATCACAGTCAAAAAGTGTTCCTAGGGTCCCAGCACTAGGCCACAATGGTTTCATCAACACTATTTGTTATCTGTTGCAATGTTTTTCTTTTCAATTTTTTCTCAAGGCTAAACAAATCTTGCTTCTTCAGGGCTCTAGGCTTATTCAGCCTTGAGGAAAAAACTGCGCTGGCTGTTTCCACTGAGATCACAAATGCTCCTCAGAGGGGAGACAAAGCGGGCTGAGGACTTCTGCTAGTTTTTCCAGCTCCAGTCTCCTTTCCTTCCCCTCCCCTGAACTTTATCTGAGTGACCAAAAATAAATGACCGGCTAAAAATCAGAGCGCCAGGCACAGCAGTGGTGGATATTGCCCTACTGTGCTTTGTTCATGGCATCAGATGCACGTCAGCCTCTAAATTCAGAGGCTGCATCCACTGAGGCCATTTCCTTGTTTTCCCTGAAAGAGTTTCCAAATTCTGAAAAGTAGCAACTGGAATTAGGTAAAAATATTCTGTTTCTGGCCTAACTAGCATTGAATTAGAGCAGCTGCATTATTATAATG